CTCTATCTCTTTTTTAATGATTCCTAACATTCTGTTTGATTTTTTGACTGCTGCTGCACATTGAGTGGATGTTTGCAGAGAACTATCCACAATGACTCCAAGATCTCTCTCTCGAGTAGTTGTAGCTAAATTCGTTCCCATCATATTGTATATATAGTTGGGATTATTTTTTCCCAATGTGCATTACTTTATATTTATCAACCTTACATGTCATGTGCCATTTTGTTGCCTAATCACTTAGTTTGGTGAGATCTTTTTGAAGCTCTTCACAGTCTGCGTTGGTTTTAACTATCTTGAGCAGTTTAGTATCGTCTGCAAATTTTGCCAACACACTGTTACCCCTTTCCCCATATCATTTATAAATACAGGTGGCCCCCAATATGCGACATGATTGGTTCCCGGGGAAGTATCACAAGTCAGGGGCATCATAACTCGAACACTTGTTTATGATAGCCGCCATGCGGGGGTCTTCGGTCCCTTCCACACTTACAAAAATAGCTGTAAGTGCGGGAGGTCGGAGCTCAGGTGGTCACGTGTCGGGGATTGCCTGTAGCTGGAATAGGATTGGTCCCAGGACAGTCCCTTGGGGAAAATCACAAGTTACCTCTCTCCATTCTGAAAACTTACTGTTAATTCCTACCCTTTCTTTCCTGTCTTTTAACCAGCTATCAGTCCATGAAAGGACCTTCCCTCTTATCCCATGACAACTTACTTTGGTGCCTTTGGTGAGGATCTTGTCCACGTCTTTCTGAAAATCTAAGTACATTATATTCACCGGATCCCCCTTGTCCACCTGTTTGTTGATCCCCTCAAAGAACTCTAAGGCTATGTCTACACGCGTGTCTTCTTGCGTGAGTAATATGCAAATGAGGCTAAGCATTGAATATTGCCAAGGCTTATTTGCATAACTAATGAGCCACCATTTTTTTCAGAATAGGCTCTTGTGCAAGAAGGAGCGTCTACACTGCCCCTTCTTGCGCAAGAAAAACCCTCTCGTGCAATGCCGTTCTTCCTCTCAAGAAATAGGTGTAACGGCATTGCGCAAGAAGGTTTTTCTTGTGCAAGAAGGGCAGCGTAGACAGCTCCGTCTTGCGCAAGAACCTCTTCCGCAAAAAATGGTGGCTCATTAGTTATGCAAATGAGGCTCGGCAATATTCAACGCTTAGCCTCATTTGCATATTACTCATGCAAGAAGACGTGAGTGTAGACATAGCCTAATAGATTAGTAAGGCATGATTTCCCTTTGCAGAAGCCATGTTGACTTTTCCCCAACAAATTATGTTCATCTATGTATCTGACAATTTTATTCTTTACTATAGTTTCAACTAATTTATCCAGTACTGACAGACTTACCAGTCTGTAATTGCCAGAGTCATCTCTAGAGCTTTTTTAAAGTATTGGCATCACATTAACTATTTCCCAGTTATTAGGTACGGAAGCTGATTTAAAGGATAGGTTACAAACCAGAGTTAATAGTTCAGCAATTTCACATTTGAGTTCTTTTAGAACTCTTGGGTGAATGCCATCTGGAACTGGTGACTTGGAACAAAGTGATAAACTTAATGGTAACAAAACCTCTTCTAATGACACCTCAAGCTGGGACAATTCCTCAGATTTGCCCGCTAAAAAGAATGGCTCAAGTTTGGGAATCTCCCTAACGTCCTCAGCTGTGAAGACTGAAGCAAAGAACACATTTAGCTTCTCCATATCTTTGAGTCATCTTTGAGAGCTCCTTTAGCATCTCAGTTGTTCAAGAGCCCCACTGGTTGTTTAGCTGGCTTCCTGCTTCTGATATACATTACTTAGTTTCCCATATCACACTATCTCTAATGTACCTTAGATGTCTCAAACTAGCAACTTCCCTATTCCATACTCCTCTCCACTTAGGCTAACTTAGACCCAGAATCTAACTTCTACATATTGCTTAACCTAAACCATCCTATAGACTACAGTAGAGGAAAGAATAAAAAAATCCCATCTAGCAATCTCTGTTCCATTCCTTGCAAAAATGGTGTCTGCTCAGCCTGCTGACCTATCATTTCATAGCCAAACACGATCACATGCCTGTCTCAGTCAGCTGCACAGTTCTCTTTGCAGGTCAGTGCTCCTTGAGCAAGAAGAGATGAGTAGAGGCCCAGAGCTGCCAATGGAAAAGGAACAGTGGTGCTGGAGCCAAGCAGATGGGGACATCCTACATCAATTGTACTAGGGATTTAGGGAGGTGGTCCTGTAATAATTGTCTTGGGGGAAATTGGGGGACAGGCGGAGAGTAGGAGGAACTACAGAAATTGTACTGCTGACCATTATTTGACATGAAGGGGCATGAACTGAATTGGGGGCAGCTGAGCCAGGACCACCATTTCTTCCCCAAATCCCCTCCCCCGAGGACCCACAAGAAACCCATGTTGGGGTCCTCGCTCCACTTTGGCAAAGGACTAAACAGTCTGGGTAGGGTGTCTCCCTCAGTCTTCTGCTGCTCACCACCAGCAAATTACAGAACTGAGAAACCTTAATAGATTTTAATGAAAGACAAACTTTATGATCTATTTCTTATGGTGTGTTGTTGCAAAATTTAGGAGTTCTACATTTTGTCATGTCGTGTGTCAATGGTTTGTATCTCACATTCTCACTTTTCAAGGTTGAGAAGTATGCATACATAGCCTCTAAAATAATCTTTCATTGTCTGGAGTTGTTTGAATTTGTTTAGAAAAATCTTGCAGGTTATTGTATATTTATAAGAATATGTTTTAATCCAAATAATTAAAAAGTTACTATTAAATATCCATTGATAAGAAAAACATACATAGGGCTTTGTGGTCATGCATATTAATACAGATCTTACAATGGCCCCAACAGCACTGGGATCACAAACACTGCAAAGGAGTAAAGATGAAGGAGATTAAGGTGAAGGGATGCAGGAGCAAGGGAACAACATGGTTGGACAAACAAGAATGTCAAGTCCTCCCTCAACAGCCCTCTTATACAGCCCTCTACCCCACAATACTGCAAAAGCACCAGTTAAGTAACTCAGCTAAGTAATAGCCTTTTCACAGGCTTTTATGAAAGTTTTAGAAAGCTTGCATTACAACCCGTAATGTTTTCCTATTTAATTATGTTTTAAAGTACAGTGGAATATATCTTGAGGATTAACATCCAGGATTAAGAGATATAATATAGATTTAGGCCATTTGGATATTCAGATTTCAGGAAACATTCCCCAACAGGTCCTATTAAACCATTAGAGAACTTCTTTTTCTAATGCAAGTGCTAACTCCAGCAAGCATGAAGCATCTCCCTTAGATTCTGGCAGATTAAAATATAACCTTTATATGTTTATGCAAACTCTTATTTAAACCTCACTTGTCTTTCTATATTCATCCCATTTGATTATTGTCAGTGCTGATGAAGGAAAATACTGTTTAGATACAAATCCCTATTTAGTCATTGCTAACAACCAGAAAGGTAAAACAGAATAGCTATCTGACCAAGTTATTGGGTTTTGGAAAAATGTTTGTTTCCCCTGAAATGCCTGGGGAACAGTCAGCATATTTTGTGTTCTGAGGCCTTGGACATGTCAGATAAACAGATTAACACTGGTCCTGAAGCCTGTGCTCATATTCTCGTCTGACTTTCCCCCCACGTTTAGGGAAGACTTTTAGGGCAAAACTTAAAAAAAACAAAAAACAAAAACAAAAACAAACCCCCACCCCCCCACACAAATGAATTGTGGGTAGCAGAATGAATGAATGGGTGATTTGATTTGCGTTCCTGCCCCAGCCATCTCCCAGATGCTTTGGGGTAGCTCATTTTTAAGTAAGTGGAGATTTCTAAAAACGTGGGCACTAACCGTGTTGTGCCTCGCTTTCCCTAGCTGTACAATGGGACCGTAACACTTCCTTTCTTCACCAGTGTGCCATAAAGGTTAGTTAATGTGTGATGGGCTTTGAAAATGTAAGGAGTGCTAAGCGTTAGCTTCTCCCCTTCTGCCCGTAATTGAATAACTGTTCTGAAGCACGTGGTAAGGAAACTCCTCGGGGCTAAAAGGCAGATGAAGCCTGTGCGGATGGGTGGGCGGCAGGGCATGAGGGGCTGTGGGAGAGAGGAGTGTGGGGTGAGGAAAGGCAGGGCACAGGAAATTTGGAAGGCTGGTTGGACAGATTATTGCTTCCTTGGACAGCAACAGTTCCTGTGAAGTCCTGCTGATACACTCACCTAAACCATGGCAGCTCTCCACCAAAACACCGCAGCGACGCGGAACCCAGAGCAGCGAAGCAAAGTCCCGTGTCAGCTTCGCCTCCAGGTGCGCAGCACCTGCCCTGAACTGGGGGTTGAGGCAGGGAAGCCTCTTGCCCCCCCGCAGGCCTGCCTGGCGCTACAAACAGACTTATGTGTCTCTGCCGGGGATGGGCAGAGATTTCACCCCCACCACCTTCTCCCCCTCCAGCGCCACCCCAGAAATCGCTGCCTGGCGCTGTCCAGGGCGGTGCAGTCCCGGTCGCCCGTGGCAGGGCACGGGCTGAAATTCCA